TATCTTTAAAAGAACCCAGCACAGCTACATTTTGTGAATTAAAAGTTCAGAGAAGTCAATATGCAAGAATTTTCACAGCCTTCATCAGATACTGGAAGCAACATTGTGCAACTCTGTTATGCTATTCCATTCTTTTACTGTTGCTACTTCCTTCTCTGTGGGTCAATATTACCAAACCGGGACATTACCAAAATTGCTGAGAATATTTACAAGTAATGTTCCTGCTGCAGACACGAATGGTGTGTCAGGTAGGTTAGGGGAGGAGTGAACCCATTCTTGAAACATTTAGGCCAATCAGTTGAAAAAGAGTGGACAACTCTATGGTATTTAAAGGTGGGTAATTTGTTTAGGGCACAGAATACTTTGGAAAGCAAATCTTTGCTGTTAAAGGTAAGTTTGTACCTTTTTTTAGCAAGGGAAGGAGGGAATACTCTAAGGGCATTCTTCTCTGAGAATCTGTTCCGTAGAACAACATCAAGGGGCTTCTGATTGTATTGCCAAGTTACAGTTTGCTTGCTTATTGATTTGATTTTTTTCAACATAGAAGATCAAGTTGACTAAATAAATTGATGAAATGCTGTAATTTACAATTAAAAACTCAGTAGAACTGTTGACTTCAGAAGTGAAATATCTGTCATGGTTTATTTGGACTTTGCTACAGATTCATATTGATCATGACTAGAAAAATCATTTTAATTTTTTTCCAGGAATCTAGTGGTTATACATTTTGTTATATTACAATATTTGTAGCCTATCTAAGAGCAGTGTTTTCTGGCTGGTTTATAGCAACAGAATATTAAAATGCAACAATAACAACAATAATAAAACTACAACATTAAAATTTCAACCGCAGTATCTTTAAAAGAACCCAGCACAGCTACATTTTGTGAATTAAAAGTTCAGAGAAGTCAATATTGAAGAATTTTCACAGCCTTCATCAGATACTGGAAGCAACACTGTGCAAGAAAAACATTGATGGCTTCTCCCTGAGGGGAAATTCCATCACGGGGCCCATAACAGTCAACATCTAATTAAATAGGAGAATGAGAGATGAACCTGCAAGAATTTATATGACAATGATATGATTTTTCAACTAGCTTGGATAAATAAGTAAATAAATAAATATTTGATTTTTCCTTCCCCAATTTATAACTGATTTATGTAAGAAATCCTTATCTCTGAGATCTTTTTTTCATCAGTTAAATTGCATCAAATTCATTGGTGAATTTATAAATACCTTAATAATTTTTCTCCATATATTGCATTTAATTAATATTTTCCTTAATTACAGACTATGGGGTGATGGAGAGGGTTATATATAGAGACATGCACAAACTTCTTTCTCTATGAATGTTGGGTAAAGTGAGCAGGCCTGGGGAGGAAAGAAAGATATAGGAATAAGGGGGCTCTGAAAGTACCCTGTCAGAGTGAATGATTACAACATTTTTTTTTCCTGCAGGAAGTTCTGAATCACTAAGATGAAGAAACTCTTCATATTCCTATTGTTTACTCTATTGCTTTCTGAAAAATATGCAAATGCTCAGACATGTGAAATTGATAGTGTGATTGAATTGAAGACTAAGAATTTAATTGCTTCCGCAGGTATTTATTTTTTATTTTATTTTTATTTATTTATATCCCTCCTTTATCCGTTTTTTAAATAACTCAAGGTGGCAAACATGCCTAATACTCCTTCTTCCTCCTATTTTCCCCACAACCACAACCCTGTGGCTTGAGTTGGCTGAGAAACTGACTGGCCCAAAGTCACCCAGCTGGCTTCCATATTAAGGCAGGATTGAAACTCTAAGTTTCTTGTCACAAAGGTGCTTTTTCAAGAGGCAATTAGACTTTGTTGTTTTTTTCTTTGAAG